TGAAGCGTAAGCACTGGCCCGTAGCCCCAGCATAACTTAGCCTGACCTCTTCCCACATGCCTTCTCATCCTTTAATCAGAAATTTGGTCCTTCGCTGACTGCAAGCCAGCACATCCGCAGGAAGCAGTTTTGGGGATCAGGATATTGGTGCATGCCTTCATTGAGCACTGGAAAGCCTGACCTTGTCCGGTACCTTGGGCTGCTGGAGCAGCCTCTCCTGCTCCAAAGTCTAGAAAAATTGAAAGGGCCAAGCTGCTGAAAAGGGCTCGGAGATAAGCAACAGAGGATATGGCTGGTGACTGCTGCACCAGCTAACTGTCCCTCAGGGGGGTTTGAGTGTGCCAAGGCTGATGCTTTGGTGTAGTAAGCACGCTGTTTCTTTAACAGCATAAAGGCACAATGGGAATGGCTGGCTTCCTGCAGACTTTTGTTGTTGTTTGCTTAGCTATGTGGAAATGTATTTGATTAGGAGACAGAGAGAGGTTAAAAATAGGACATTAATATGATATTATTTGTTTTATCAAATAAAATGCTTAGAAAATGTTTATCTTGTCTCATGAGAGCAACAAAAATAGAGGCCAGCACTTCTCTGCAGCTCTCTTTAATGAGCTAAATTGGGCGGCATTGTCAATGCCTCTAGAAGTTTTGGGGTGAAATGAAGGAAGTTCTGAGCAGGATTCCTTGTAACCACAAGCACTGGGTGTGCCTGACTGTAGAGCCAAAAGCATCCTTTAATTGTGCTGTTTTTCCTCCTCTTATTTTTAATGGAAGACATTCCCCATTGAGAACTGTTGTAAGCTGACACTGAGAGCCAGATTCTGCCACCCATACTGACAGTGGCATGGATCAAACCCTTCCAGTAACACTGTGGCAGTCAAGGGGCTGTTTGTGCAGTGGGGCAAGACTTGTGAAGTGCAGAGGAGGCAGGGTCAGAACCATGGCAGATCTGGGGAAGGATGCATTATTTGTTAGATTTTCAGAATACATTCACAGAAGTTGGCTTTACTTGTAATGCAAGAGCTCAAATGTTGTGGATGAGTGGGGGAAAAGGTGGTGAGATAGAGTCGTCGTCGTCTTCACTTTTCCTTCTTCATGCCAATAAATGTAGCTGTAGATGAAAATTCACTGTGAATGGCTGTAGCTCCAAGAATTTCTGTATGTTAACATTTCTTAAATGAAATAATTCTCCTGGAAAGCTCTGTGTAACATACACAGACCCAAAGAAATAAATAAAAGAAAATAAAAAAATTGCAACCAAAAAACCCAAGTTGAGATTTTTAACAGGAAAAGGAGATTTGCGTATTAATAATTCATGAGTTCTCATTGAACATGCACGGAGAAACGGTGCTATTCAATAGAGAATACTGTCATCTGTCACTGTTTTATTTGACATTTACACTTTTTTTTTTTTTTGCCTGGTACTGCAAAACTTTCTTGGATGGCGTGCTAAGATTATTTAAATAAATAATTAAAAAAATCCGATGCAGACTTTTCATCTGTGCATGGGGAGGGCGGTTACTTGCAGTCATAAAGAATGTGTGAGTAAGCTGCAGCACTGTGTTTTCTCACGTATTAGCTGTTGCCTAATAATCGGCCCCATAAATGGATAGATAGGGGACGAGAGAATGAATGCTTGGATAAAGAAAGGGAAGCATAGCAAAAGAGCAGTGAAAGGATAGATTTGATGCAGATAAGGGTACACATGCACACAGCGGGTACGCATGTGTACGTGTGGGGGTGAGCGAATGATGGCTGTTGTGAAGAAAGCTGCCACAAATACATTGCCGTTGCCGATGCAAAAATAAATATTTATAAATGGCGTTGGGGGAGATCCAGTCCCGCACAACGTGAGAGAAGGCAGGGCGTTTAGCACAATGACAATTCAGAGTTAGGCACACGTTGCAATTTCTTGCTAATACTAGACTCATGAAAATCTTTCTGCTCTGTAGGTTAGTTATTATTTATAAAAATCACAGAACCAGCTGATACATTCATAAGCTAATTATTGTAGCAGCTGGGTACACATGGTGCAATATGTCTGAGGCTGTGAAGTATCACAGATTTCTTGGGGCCTGCTGTGGTGGGGGTGTGCTGTTGAAGGCTAGATCCCTTAATCTGATCAGCCAAGCAAATACTTTGTGGGGAAACTGGATTAATATCTCTCTAAATACCACGGATGTGCTTCACCTTCAGAACCAGGCTCCTTTAAACGTGCCATTAGCTTATCTCCTTTGGGGAATGGAGAAGTTCTCAGGTGTCCTCAAGATGGCGGGGTCTTTGCCTGGTGCCTCCCTTTGCCAGAAATTAATTTGGTTTGCTCATGTCTGCACACATGGTCACACTGCAGTCTAATCTTTTCCCTAATAGCTCCAAGGTCAGGACCTCGCATGTTGCCAGGCAAATTGAGCGCTATCCTTCTTAAAGACTAATGGCAGCGAGTGCCTAGTCCATAATGAGGCCTGTAGTGTTGCTCTAAGTGATTGTAATGAGTGCTGATTATAATGGGACAGATAAATCAAAATGCCGCAGTGGCCATTGGGCTAGCCAGTCCAACTTTGGGAAGGGGAGGTGGCCCTGCTGAGCTGTCCCTGGGCTTTGCCGAAGCCAGGCACCACACAGCACCCTGCAGCCCTCGGGGAGCTCCAGGAGCCATCCTTCCCTGGGCCTGCCCTGCGCAGGGCTCCAGCTCCACCAGGTGCAGGGTTTTCTGTGTATTTTCTGTTAAACCATTGGTCTTCGTACTGCAGCATCCCTCGGGAGATGTTTAACATACCTGCCTGAAACATTTGGAAGAGTTCAGTTGGAGACTTACTCTGATCTCTGAAAATGGGGAGAAACAGGAGCTTATTTTTTCTACAGATGGTATATTTTCTATTTCAAAAACTATTTCCTTTGTATGGAGGAACCCCTGAGAAAACACAGTGGAGCTGGGAGATTTTTGTCCTGTCTTTTCTCTAAAAGAGAGAAAGTTTTGGGGGATTTCTGAGAGGAGAAAAGGGAAAGAAGAGAACTGAGGGCAAGCAATGTGGCCAGACCATATTAAAATGCAGACATCACCTGGCTGAGATTACCGAAATACCAGTCAAAATGCTTTGGAAATATAATAATGAATTTTTTTTTCCATAAGTAAATTATTAGAGATCTTGTTTTCATCCTTGCCCCTCCCCAACTCTCCTAGTTTATTGCAAGAAAAGATCAGGTCTGCACAAATGTGGCCTCTCACTTGTAAAAACAAGGCAGTGTTGTGTTACAGATTAGTTTATAAATCCCTGGTGGCTTCACAGTTCAGTGCCTACAGCTGCTGCAGATGGGCCTGGGTTTTTGTCTCTTCGCTGTGCTGCAGCCGGCAGTTGAAGGAGAAAATGGAATGATCAGGTTATTAACATGTAGGCCGTGAGGAAGAGGCTGCACAATGAGAACAGCTGGTGTTGCTGTCTTGGCTGATGCAGCGGAGATAATCAAATCTTGCCTTTTTTTGGGGGGTGAAGGCAGAAGACACAGTGGAGAGTAAGACAAACAACGGCTTGTGATATTATATATGGGGTTTGGAGTGCACGGTAGAAGTTGTTAATGGCTTACAAGTTGTTACACAAAAAAGCAATACCAAAAAACCCCCACGTGGGCTGGTAATGAACCAGGCTGTTCAGCTTACTCTAGTCACTCTTTGGAAAAATACAGTTTTGGCTACTTCTTGTACCGAACATTTTTAACATTGATCAAGCTATCTTCTAGGTATTGTAAGGTGCCTGTCAAAATGGTGTCAAAATGCTGAGCTGTAGCTCAAAAATGATGGGTTATAAAGCTACTAGGTAAAATATTGTGACAGGAGTCAGTAAGGCGTGTTGACAGCATCCTCAGCGTTATCTTCTCCTGTCATTTGCATGGCGTCTCCTGCACGCAGGCACAGGAGGGGAGGTGCCGTAGCTTCTGGCACGCAGGATGGGGCTGGCTGTGTCCCCTTGCCCTGGACAGGTTCAACCATAGCCATGGTCCCTGGTTAACCTGCTGGGGAGGCCGGGTCAGCGCCACACGCACTCAGCGCACCTGGGGCTGCCCTCACCTTAACAGCTGCTGCCACTGTGCTCCCTGGTGGCTTTGTCGTTTTGAGTGATTTCTTCTTCCTGAAGCACTGGTGCTTTTCCCTCCAGGGGTTTGAGCACAGCCCCTGTGGAGAGGTCCTTCAGGATTTCATACAGGGGTAACATTTTGATGCTATTTCAAAATAACCATAAAACAATATAGCAGGAATATAAAATCTTTCTGCTTCCTATAGCAGGAATAAAATCTACTATTATTATGATCTATAGTTGGGTTTAAAATTACCTCCACCTAGTATCTTGATCTCTCTAGTAACTTCTGCAGGACCCTGTTTGCTTCTTTCCTGTTAAATAATAGAGGATTCACTTTGTGTGAGACTGCATCTTCTAAGTGGCCATTTGATTATTTAAAGCCATTGAATTTTAGTGGGGTTCAGAGCTGGGAGATTCAGTGCAACATAGCGAGAGCAGATCAGAGGTCCTTACTTGAGGTCCTTATCTTCTAAACATTTTCAGTAATGGTTGAATATCTGGTCCTGCAGCTGCAACCCTTAGAATGAAGGTTGGTGCCAAGTCTCAGGGTCTCCTTTTCTCTTGCTTGGATGAAGAAATAAAGGAGCTCTGAGTCAGAAATGTGGTTGCATCTCTATTTCAACTCTGGTTTTCTATAGGAAAAATGTTTATATCCAAGCATTTTAAACATGGTATGATTATGACAGGGGCAAGATGCTGCACTTCCTGGTTCCTGTTAAGCACTGCTGGTTGTGTCTGTTTCTCCAACTTGCAGGAAATATAAGGATCAAGGATTTATTGAGACCAAAGGGCAGCTGAGGGTAGGGGGTGTTCTGTGTGAGATGAAACCTGTGAAACCTGCAGCACAAAGCTTTAAGTTTAGCTGACCTTCCACTCACATCTGGTTCCTTGGTGCTCAGTGGATTAACTGTGCTGACCCTACCATTGCAGGGCTGGCTGTGTGAGCTGCTTCGCTGGAAAGAAAACCCAAGTCCAGAAAACCGCACGCTTTGGGAGAACCTCTGCACCATTCGCCGCTTCCTGAACCTTCCCCAGCATGAGAGGGATGTGATCTACGAGGAGGAGTCCAGACATCACCACAGTGAGCGTATGCAGCACGTTGTCCAGCTCACTCCTGAGCCCGTGCAGGTCAGCACTAACTTCCTTCAGGGTGTGTATGGGCGGGGAAGAGCTGTCAGAAGTAGAGAGAATCAGCTGGTTCCAGCTTCCTGCTGCTTTGCAGGTTGAGACACACCAGTTTTCATCTGTCTGTAGGGCCACATGCAAGCCATGGCTCTCAGGTTCAGAGGTCACTGTGTGTATGTTGCAGCACGCATGTGTGTGTGTGTGTGCAGGTTTGTGTTGGTGGTTGAAGAATAAGGATGTAACAATCCATGCCACTGATAACAGCAAGGTCAGTAGTAGTGGTATTATGGAGCTCCCTTGGTGTCAGTAGTTGTATTGTGGCTGAAACACAGTTTAGCTGTCTAAAGCTGCTGATATTTAGAGGACTACAAATATGTTCCTCAGCAACAGCAAGAAGTGTGTGGTTATTTAGGAAGCAGTCACTCACTGAACCTGAGCACCCCTGTGCCCGCTCTCAATGGGCAACTTCAGCCATACATTTGCTTTTGTTTGAAGAAGCCAGATGACACTTCAGGAAAAGTAGGAGAGGAAATTTGTCCATGCATGGGTAACACAGAGGTTTTGAAGAGTGTTACATGAAGAAGTGTTTTTTATATGATCACTGAAACTTAAAAGTACTTCTGAAGTGACCATGGTGAGTGTTTTGCAGGGAACAGGCCTTCATTTCACAGCCTCCTCGGGATTATTTTGCTCCTCTCTACCACCTTTGTGGTGACTAGTATGAATTTTTGGTTTGTGTACATTTGTTCTATCCTTGTCTCAGGTCTTAATAGAATAAGAAATAAAGAGATACAAATATGCATAGGGAAAATGAAGTGAAAATACTGCAAGATTTTCATCTTTGCAGTTCCAGCTTCAGTCAGAAGAGAAAATCAGTTGTATGTGTATTCCTAAAAACTAGTGATGCATGTCACAAAACCAAACATCTGCTGGTAGTCAAGAGAGGCTCAGAAGATGTTTTTTTCAATCTAAGAAGCTGAGGTGATGCCTCCCACAGCAGACCATCCTTTTCAATTGCTGCTGGTTCTCAGTGCCATTCATCTGATCCCACTGTGTGACTGCTCTCAGAGTCATCCATACTGCATTTCCCTCTGATAATCTCACAGTTCCTGCTCCCACCTTTGCTCTCCCCATTGTCATTTGATGGCGGCTCGCACGGCTTTGCTACTTTTGCTGTGAACCTTGGCATTCAGCCTCTGTTCTTTGTTGCTGCTCTTTGCTGCTGCTGCTAGCACTGCTGCCAACTATCTAGTCACCTTTTCCCAAAGGTGGGAGGCTTTTCTGTCTTGTAGTCCTGCCTCTTATGCAACACACTGGTCTCACCCAGATTAATTATTGCCTAGTTCAGTCTCCTTTGTCGCTTCTGCTACCCACTTCCTCCTTGCTTTCCATTCGGTCTTTGCCTGAAAGCAAAAATACGTTTCCTGGGATGCAGATTCTCAGAGCTATGAAGTAGGGGAAGTGCTCTGAGTAATTAATGGTGCTAGTGTTGTCTTATAAGTTCCCAAAAGTTTGTGAGATCTTGGAGGCTAGGAGCTACAGAAGGGTAAAGGACCGAGCTAACATGCAGTAAGATGCCTAGACCTGTGTAGGTTTGAACGTATTAACCCAGTTCTGGAGCCCACAGCAAGTAGGAAAATCATCTAAGGGACAGTTTGAAGAAAAAGTTTCCTTGAGCTCTCGTGGGTGACCTTGATGATTAGCCTACTTTCCAAAGCCTTCTGCACATCACTTTTCTGCCTCGTGCAGGTTGGCTCTTGTGAGTGACACGTTACACTGCATTGGAATGCGATGCATTTGTATTTGTCAGCAAGTTACAAAGCCATGGATTAATTATTTATTACAGTCAAAATATGAAAAATGAAGAAAAATAAGTGGAACCAGCTGGCATCTACATACAGCAAAACTCTGGAGACCCTGGTATACAGTTGATACAGTAGGCTTGTGTTTTGGGGGTGCTGCATTTTAAAGCTATGTTTGCCCATCCAAAAACCCCAGTAGGTTTCTGAGTGGCACGCTACCAGTGCGAGACACAGAAGGCTTGCTGTCCACCTGCTCCCTACTGTCAAAGGATGCCCTGCACCAAGCAGTTTTTTGTGTAGTTTTTGGTCTCTGGGACTTGAATTGTTTCAAGCAGCAAGGTTTGGTTTTTGGCTTTGCTGCAAGGGTTACTATTAGGTAATTAGCCATGAAGAAGCAATGACAGCAGCCAGAGACATAAAGCTGAGGTCCTCACACTTGCAGTCATTGGAGATTTTGTGACACTTTACATAAGGGTAAGGGTCTTGGGCCCCGCTCCTGGCCGAACTCCAGGCCAAGTAATTACATTCTGCCTGTCTGAAATTCCCCCTGTAGTGTCAAGTGGGAAAGCAACTCTCATTTCCTCCTCAAAGCAGCAGCGGGTACAGAATGTCTGCCACGGTGGCCCTGCATTTTAGCAGGGGGTGGAAACATCCAAGAGCTGCAGTCACCGACCTACTTTGCTTTGCAAAGGCTTTGCTAGTTAAAAATGCGCTGTAAGTCGAGCCCTTACCTGCAGCCTTGGTGTCAAGATGACAGTCCTTTGAAGAAGGTACAAGTAGGAGCTCTGTGAATAACAGCAGCTGCAGGACTGTAACACCAAAGCAGGCAGGAGACTCTCATAACCCCATCTTTCTCTGCTCTGCTGGATTTGATGTGTGTTCAGAAACTTGAGTTTCCTGCTCCTCCAGCTGGGAGACTGGGCGAGCCTGAAAACAGACTGCCCCGTGATGCTACCAGAGCTCCCTGCCACCAACGACTGAGCCCTCTCTGGGCTGGGACGCCTCTCCATCAGACTGGAGGACTTGGAAGAAAATCCTGGCTATCATCACAAGTGGCATGACTAGTCAAAAGAGATCAGACAGATTAATTTCAGCCTCTTCCCTGGTATGGCTTCTTGGAAATGGCAAAGATTTTGTTGTGATGGGTTTTGTGTAGTTCATTTGCCAATCGCAGGGTTGGGCATACCTTCAGTGAGGGCATCTCCCCAAGGCTGGGTATGGTTTCCGTCCTGCAATGACAAGGTGCACGCAGTGGGGCAGTTGTTGCGGTGCTTTAGAAAATCAGCTGGACAGAACTTGGCTCTTGACACTTAAGGGATTGTTGATTCTTTTGTGGCAGATTCTTTACCTCTGTTTGGTACTACCGGTACCTCATTGTTTAGCTTTAGGTTCAGGGCTTTAAAAAGAAACATTTTCATCTTTTCTCTCTTCCATCGGATTTTTCCTGTCAGCCATCTATTAACCCATTTAATCAAATATTTTCCTCTTTCTGAAATGAAAAACATCTATAGTGGAAGCTCAGTGCACAAGAAATTCCTCCCTGCACACTTGATTTATTTGTTATTGTGCTGAGGAGTCATAAAATGTGAGCCCTGTGGAGCTCTGTGACATGGCTGTGTTCTCTGGCAGCGCCGGGTGTGACCATATGGATGTGCCGGAGTGCAGATTTTCCTTCGCATGCTGGTTGCAGAGCATCCCTGCTACACCTACACGTTGTTGTGCACACAGGCTGAGCTCTCCACAGCCTCTTGCTTGGTTTTTAAGGAAAATCAGGTGTGCACTAAGTGGCTCTTTCTCCCTCCCGTTCTGTGCAATGTGGTGTAATCACAAAGTGATGCTGTAGGACTAAGGGAAAGAATTGTGAGGTTGTTGCTAGCTGGCTACCACAACGATACCACCTCTTATTTATGGAGTGCCTGAAGCACAGGTTCCTGCAGGATGAGAGGGTATGCTGGAAAGCATTATGGTATTTTTGCCCTGTTCTCTTCCTCTTCCACCACCATCAGACGCAGGATCCTGGCTGGACCTTTGGTCTGATCTGGCCTGGCTCTTCTTGCATGGGGCAGACCACATGCAAAGTAGTCACTAGGCAGCAAGCAGCCCTCATGCTTCTGTGTTCAGCTTCCTGCTCTACAGAGGTGTGGATAGCCTGTCTTACTTTCTGTCCCTCCCTAAATCCCAGCGTTCCCAGGCTGTTTTCTGGCGTTGGACCTTTCTGGAGTGTTAATGCTGAGAGGTGCCTACAGATGCTGCCCGTTGCCAACCAGGGATTTGGTGTTTGTTACAGATGTGCTGGGACTCAGTAAATCTAGTTTCTCTCCCTTCTCCCACTGTTTGTCTGCTGTGTCCAAGGTGACCACTCCAGAGAATAACCATCTTGCCTGGCACTTTAATATAGTGCTAATTCATTGTTAATTGCTGGGGCAGAGAAACCTGACTCAGTTGGGAAAATGATGAATCAAGCTGTTGTCTCTGGAGTGTTGGGGTGGATAAGCTGGTTCTCCGGAGTAATGAGCCACCACTGCAGCAAAGTACCCACTATTCAGAGAGTGGGGAAACCTGGCCTTTTATTTTCTGCATAAGCTGACAGATCTGCTGCAGCTGGTAGGTACATATTGGTTTAAGAGCAGTCAAATGTTGACTTTAAAGAAACAGGAATGGTTTTCACGTGGTTTTCAGATACACTGTAACTTTGTAACTTTTTAAAAATTATGTCCCTCCACCCTTTTTTCACAGGAGCTTTGATTTAGACAAATGTGGCAATTAATAATAGTTCAGATCATAAATCATGGAGGAACATTAGTAAATAAAAGAAGGCATAGCAGAAAGCTGTCGGAAAGCTCTTCTGTATTGTGTGTTCACTGCAAACATTGTGGTCTCCCTTTAAATATGCAGAAAATAACACACCACAGAAGTAAATGGAATACTAATTTTGTCATTTTGTCAGGGATGGAAGGGAACAAATATTTTAGAAATGACAATGAAATGCAGAACAGCAGAACATGGAGCCCTCATAAAAATGGGTCAAGGCAAGTGGCAATGGCAATCCAATGAAACTTAATTTTGTATTCTCTTTCTAGAAGTCATAAAGAGGGGGATGAACACCACAGTAGTGCTTCCTAATGAAATATCTGATTTTAAACAATGTTGTAGAGTTCACAGGTCACACAATGCATAGCATGCAGATGGAAAAAACAGACT